CACACACACACACACACACACACACACACACACACACTCCAGCAGTACTCCTGCACAGCGGGAGGGGAGGAGGGAAAAAAAAGGCAGAAAGACAGGGGTGCAGCTGCAGCCCTAATGGACCGAACTTCAGTCAAACAAGACCCAACACTTTTATTCCTGATTTAAACTAGTGATCTTGAGAGCAGATGCAGCTGTATGCTTTTATTTATTTTTTGTCAGACTGTAGCGGTGCGCTCCACTCCTCTGTCCTGTGAGGCGGACAGCTCAGCCGAGGCTGTCACGTTCTCTCATCCTGGCCACACCTCCGCTATGCATGCACCTCCACACCTATGCATGACTATGCATGTAAAACTGACACCGCTGATGCTCAAAACGCATTTGGAGGGAACACAGCATAACTTAGCTTATACTTAAAAGGCTGTATTTAACCAATTAAGACTTGAAGCAGCCTCTAGTTTTAGAGACTGTTACACCCAGGCCAGTCAACCCTATGAAGTGACATAACATTTGAAATATTGGGATGATTACATGTTTTCACAGAGAAGACTGGAGAAAAAATAAAAACAGCTGCTGAATATCTGCCAGTTATGAGCTGAGCTGTTTGGACTATTCATTTTAGAAAATAGTCCGACTTTGGCTACATCCATATTGCACATCTTAACTGCTCACATCTGACTTTTTTTTTTTGGGTGTGCAAATTTAATGTTTTGTATGGTGGTTTAAATTATAATTTAAATGCGACCTCCATCAGACTCCTGTGTGAACCATTTACAGTTCTGTCACACAACGTTCTGCCCGCTGAGCTTAAGAAAGTAAATATGGATGCTACACGTTAGCAGGTGTGGATCTATTCTGAAGTTGTGGAATCAGAACCAATGAAATAATTATCTTAGGTGATTGTTTGGTTCAGTGTTTATATATAATGTTGCCTCTTGATGACTCCTACTGGGTAGCACTGTAATTTTGAAATGAGAAACAACTTACTAAAGTTAGAAATAAACTCAAGTATTGATCTCATCACAAAAGTATCCATACAATCTGACACCAGCGTTAGTATATGCTGCTGTAGATCCTCAGTCATATAGGACGGGCAAATTAAAAGAACGAAAATTAATTAACTGGACGTTCTGTAGCTGCAGACAAGGAGTTCCAGGGCTTAAATTGCACTAGGTTGGTATAATTATTACTACTTGGATTGATCCAGTCACCCCTAGCACACCAGGGGCCTCATGTACAAAGACTTGCGTAGATTTCTTACTGAAACCTGGTCAAATCCAGAAAACAGCGTACGCACAAAAAAATCCAGATATATCAAACTGTGCGTACGCCAGAATCCACGCACATTGCTTTTGTACATCACAATTAATGTGGAACTGAGCGCAGGTAAGACACCTCCCCTGACACGCCTTCATTAACAAATGTTAAACAGATGCAAATTACTTCCTGCATGTGTGAAGGACACATTTGAGTGATCCCTGCATGATCAGAAGTGGTTTCTAGAGTCATAAAAATAATGAATTAAATATAATGTGAGTGTGAAAAAAATCCTAAGTAAAAATAGGAATTAAAATATGTTTATCAAGCAAACAACGAGTGATTGTGTGCACGCTGCTGTGTTGCGCAACCGGCTCATCCATCCATTCTGAGTCTGAAAATATGAACTTGGTGCAGGAGTTTATTACCATAATTACTGTAAACACAGAGGAACTTAAATGTTTGGTAGAACATAGATCTTTGTTTATTTCATAGTTGATATTAAGAAACGAATCTCTGCGCCTCAGTAGTTTTCATGACGTGACGTGATGTTGGAGAGTCCACACAAACGCTGCATGCGCAGCAGCCTTTGTGCACAGTCTGTCTGTCTGTCAAGCTTTTGCTCTCCTACTTATAGCATTTTCACAAGTTGTAAAGTGTACTTCCACGTGTCATTTTGGAGAAATCTACAGCAACGTATGAAACACCTCCACTGCCGGCGAGGGTGCGCACGCTCCAGAGCGCAACCATAACTCAGCCTTTAGAATCATATGGATGATACGATTCTGTTGGTCATGATTCAGCTTTGGGTGGACTGGACTGGACTGAGTCCTGATGGGTCTGCCAGCTCCCTCTGGAAAGCTCCTGTGGAACCCCAGTTCAATTGCTGCTGCACGTGCACGCGGCTACTCGTTGCGTCGCGCTCCCAGAGCGCAGCAGTGCCAAACTAAAAAATGATTTTTCCTCAAAACGGCTGATGAGCCACTCGTCATCAGAAAATTCTATCTGTTTATAAATAAATGTTCTGCGTGCTACACTAATTATTATATCCTCCAGTAAGGCTGAATCCGTTCCTGTTAAACGTATTTTTGGCACAACTTTGCACGTCCTTTATTTAACTGCATCCATGTGGATGTAATAATTGTCAATCATGTGGATGTAATAATTGTTAATCACGTGTGTCTGGTGTGAACAATAATCATTTTCACATCATGAACAGTTTCTCAGAATCACCTCTAAGAGTCGCCAATGGAACCAAATCCACAGAAACGTGTGTACGCCAGCCCTGGAGTTGGCGTGGGGCTGCGCAAATTTCCACGTTCAGTTGAGTTTTGATACATCCGGAGATTTGCGTGGATAATGACGTACGCAAGGTTTTTGTGCGTACGCATCGTTGATACATGAGGCCCCAGGGGTAGACATAGGGAAATTTTCCAGGTTGCCCAGCAGACAACCAAGTGAAAATAAGTTGTCTCAAATAACCCAAAAGCCTTTATGTCAATCCCTGCACACTGACATAAAGGTCATTTGAGATGAAACGTCACCCATCAAACTGAGTTTGCTTTGAAACACATCAGCCAATTTAGTACCACATAGGAAAAGACCTGAGTCAGATTTGAAAAAGTCTGATTTGAATCACATTTGCATGCAATGTGAACATAACCCGGTGCCCGCTCATCTCTCTCACCGATCTCACTCCTCTCTGGTCCAATGCCATTATAGAGGCGGAGGTAGTTGACTTGGCAGTCGCTATCTTCTATGTCCAGTGAAGCAAACCGAAAGTGGATCCTCTTCCCACGAGGCACGGTGATCTCCCACTCACACACACTGTTGTTCGGGTACGTCCTCGGATAACCCAGAGAGGACAGAGTCCCACTGATGGGGCCGAGCACAGTGGGGCCACAGCCATCACCTGCAGGACAGAATAAAAACATGCAGATTCAGAAAGCAGATTGTCCGCATTTTAAACTTGCACCAGTTCACAACGTTTGACCTTGCTTCCAAGACAAAACAAGAAGACTCCTGCAGACTGATCAGACTACACTCTGATGTTCATGTAGCAAGAACATGGCAATGAATTCTGTTCAAATGAGTGCAACTGTGACTTCATTGCAGATATGAACTCTAAAGTTTGGCTGAGACAATATCACTGTTTTTAGTCAAGTGTACATCCAAACAGCCCTAATATGCACTGACAGTTTATTGAAACATATGAACATCCACCTTTTAAGTAATATAGTTTCTTTCTTATAAAAAGAGGTAAAGAAATGTTACCATAGAAAAAGATCTTAATATGTTTGAAGTAAATACAACAGATGGGGTAAGGTAGACACTGATAAACTGAAACTCACCCTGTTTTAGTATGTGTTATTTATATGTGAACAGAAAAAAACTACCATAAGCTGATGGTGTAACTGAATCATTAACTTGTAGTGTCTCACTGTTGGAGACAAGCAAGAAGATGTGTGAGGGAGCAAACAAAATGTCTTGACATGTTCTCAGTTTCCTTACACAAGCAGAAAAGTTATGCAGCTTTTAGTTTAAGTTTTGAACATGGTGTCTCAAATAGAGTTGTAATGGGCATCTCAAACCCTCCTCAATTTAGTTTCTGTAAATTCTGGAGAATTAGAGATGTATTTTGAGGACTGCACAGGAGGTCTATCATCATTTGAAATGTGCACTCCAGCAAATTAAACTATAAACACAGGGGCATCTGCTAAGGTGGGTAGAAAAAAGGATACAATGTCGGTGGAGGTAGGCAACAAAATAATGTACACGGCCTACAATACAGTTTTGCTGGCTGAGCACAACACAACTTGTGGCTCACTGGAGGATTAGTTGCAAACACTCGAATTTCAGTGAAAAAGCAAGGGAAAATGTGCATATTACTGTATGTAACTGGGGCTGTGACTCTTAATTTCGTTCCACCTCATGTAATACGTGATGTGAATGACAATAAAGTATCTTGAATCTTGAATATTTTCTGGTGTTTTGCTTGCAATTTAGTCAACAACTAGATAATACAGCCCAATGAAATGCAGGTTAGTGGTACAAGTGGCAAAAATGCAACTTCACGAGGACCTGTTTGGCGCATCAATATAAAAACAACAAAAAGCATTAGAAAACAAGCCAATTCTCTCTTTTAAAGAGTATAAATCAGCTCTGAAACACTTTAAAGGGTATATGTCTTAATTTAAAATTAGACTTTAAAGGTATGTTTGGTTTTGTTGAGCTGTGAGCCAGCTCAATGATTACATCTTTACAGATGTGGATTTTATTACTTTGATAGATAATGCCGTAGTCACGTTTCATGGTGCTGAAGTAAATGTTGTGAGAGTCTGGAGTTATGCAAGAGTCCCTCAGTGGACATTATCCAGATGAACAGGACAAAAACACAGACTCACATGTTACTGAACAACTGCATGACTTAAAAATTACCCTCTTTAAGGAGGATTTCTAAACATAAATATTTTGTTTTTATCATGACATCTAATCAAATTGCATCAGACTGCTGAGCTTATTTTTTTAGAACAGTTGGTAAATACAATGAGATGATATTTACTGATCTTTGGGTTAGTGTTTGATTAGTCGAGAATTTGGGCTACGAATAAAATAAGTTTTCTCTTTATGTTTCTAGTAAAAATAAATGGTCACTGTGAAAGGCAACAAACGAATTAAACAGGGAAAACGTGGTGTTTTAAACATACACAAAGCCTCATTCTCGCTCGCAAAGAATCCAGGGTTTAGCTGGAGAGGAAAACAAAAAGCTACGTTTTAAGAACCGGTTCGCCTGGTTTACCTCCAACCGCCGGAGAAAACACCACGCTGACGGGCGTCGATAAGCGGCGTGAACTCCACGTCCACAAGGCCATGTAAGGTAGGTTTGCTTATCCTTCACACAATAACAGCGCCTCAAAAAGTCTCCTAAAAACACGCGTGTTTACACTTCACGAGCCGCCTGGCTCCGCGTGTCGCCGCAGCTGTGTGGGGAACAACAAACCTTTCTGAGCTCGGCAGCTCTCGGTGGTGAGGATGATGAGAAGGGACAGGACGAGAACCCCGGCCCCTGTCGGCCCCCTGCCCACCATTACCGCTCTGCCCATAGCAGCCTGCAGTCGGAATGCATAATGCTCGCCTCTGGACCAGCTGCACCGCTTCAGCCTGGACGGAGGAGACACACACACAAAAAAAATAATAATAAAAAAAACAAGGTAAATCCTCAGCTGGTTTCCTCCTGGGATGTTTTATTTTAATTATTATTTGTATTTATTTTTACTTGTACTAAAGAGATCCGGTGGTTCAGGACACGCTCACTATGGAGGAGGTTAATATACGGAGACACTTCCTCCTCACACCCAGACTCCTCCTCCTCCTCCAGATCTGGGAAAAGGGACACCTGAGTCCCCCAAGTGGTCTGAATGATCCTGCAGCACCCATCTGAAACCCCTGGAATCAGCAAGATGTTCATTCGAGATTTTCGTGTTTTTTTTTAAATTATTAATTTGTTGAAACAAAAACAAACAACAAAAAATACAGTTAGAAAATATTATGACAGCTTAAAGACTTGCTGCGTCCATTCTGGCTTTAAAAGTATAATCTGGCTATTTTAAAGTTGGTTCTTTATAAAAGAACAATTTACCTGTTGCAGACTCACGTTGACAAGGAGAAATTCTGACAAAGTCGTGACTAGTGTGAACTTTAGACATAAAAAAGATGGACAAGTTTTAGAGCCACACTAGGGAGATTTTTTAATGAGAATAAAGTCATACAGTATATTATGAAAATAAAGTTGTTTGTTTATTTATTGGTATCCCTATTAGTTTCAACCAAAGTGGTTACTAATCTTCCTGGGGTCCAACTGACAAAACACAAAAATATTCAGACAGACAACACATAAAACCGTTTCGACAAAAACACATAATATGCACATTCTGAAAATGAAATGAGTATTACAAGAATAAAGTTATAATATTATGAGAATAATTTCACAGTATTACGAGAATGAAGCCATACTAGAATAAGGTCACAATATAATAAAGTAATATTACTAGAATGAAGTTGAAGTAATATAAGAATGAATACATAATAATGAGAATAAAGTTATATCATATGAATAAAAAATTAAATTACGATAATAAAGTCATAATATCACAAAAACAGTCAATAATACAAGAATAAAATCAAAATAGAAAATAAAGACAATATTAACAGAATAAATTTGTAATATAATCGTAATATTTCATGAATATAATCATAAAAGTATGAGAATAAGGTCATAATATTATGATAAAGTTGTAATAAATATGAGAATAATGTCAAACTAATACAAGAATAAATTCAAAATAATATGAGAATAAAGTTATAATATTGAGAACTTATACACAAAATAGCAGTCTTACATTTGCTTCTTGTTACTGTTAGTTTATTACATATTTACATTTAATTTATATTGTGATATTTTATATAATTCTAAGTAGTATTCATAAACTATAAACAAAGACTCAGTAATAAGTTGTAAAAAAGTGTGTTTTTATATAAATGTATTTTTTCTTCTTTCTTTCCACCTCCTGTTTATGCAATAAACATTGTAATATAATAAACATGCAGGTGTAGTTTGAAATTAATTTTAGTTTAGACATTTTAAAATGTATAATATTGTGTAAGATGTATTCTTCATAGGTATAGCCTAGGTAGTAAAGGTGCAGACACTGCCATCAAGTGGATGAGTGTTTAAAGACTCCAATCACCACATCCCCCTTTCTTTAGAACTTTTTTTTGGTTTACATTTTGAACATTTAACTTGTTTTTAAAGCCTTATAGTTGTTATAAATTCAGTCTATCAGGGGGTTTTACAGTACTTGTAGATCTTCTTAGCACGATCAATGTTTGTGTCTGTTCAGCTGGTTCACTGATTTTTGGTCCAGGTGATGATGGATCAGCTAAGATGGTGATAGTCATACTGTATATATAATATATATACAGGTCCTTCTCACACACACACACACACGATCAATGTTTGTGTCTGTTCAGCTGGTTCANGCAGCTCATTTACACACTTTTCCTGAAGATAGAAGAGTTTGTTGAATCTGACGTGACATGTTCGTATGAACCCTTTGTATGAACAAAAGTAAGAGAAATTTAGGATAAGAATACGAACATGTTCTTGCATGAGGCCCATTAATGTTTTGATCTTTCTGTCACCAAAACAAACTGTCTTCATTTGTCTCTCTGTGTCCCTGTGACGAACTGGAGACCCGTCCAGAGTGTCCCCTGGCCGTCTCTCACACAGTGACTCAAACTGGTCCAGCTCTGAGTTCTCTGGTTTTTAGCGGCCGAATATGAGGCAGCACCACTTTGACAGTTTTAGCTGTTTTCAGCTACAAGTCGTGTCTGAATGAGCTCACCTGCTTCTCAGTCCCTGAGCTTCCAAATGTTTGTCTGATGCCCGTCTGCAGGATGTTGGACAGGCCCTCCATGCTGAAACGCTACAGGTCACACACACACACACACACACACACACAATGCGTAAAAAGTTCATGTAGGTACTGTATGTGTCAATCCTTGATCACAGGGAAGTGAGTGAGTTGACAGTTTCTTTAGATTAAAGTGATCAAAAGTCATGCTGCAGATGTATAGTCTTCATTAAAAAGTAAAAGATATTTTAGTGTAAGCTGTGTTCCACATTCTGAGCAACTTTCATAAAAAAGCATTGACACTAAAGTGTGTTTTTAAGATCTGCAAGCAGCGTAATTTTTATTCTAAAAAAATTGCATAACTTCTTTTTTTCTCAACCACTTTGAACAAAGTTTGTATTATTTGCTTACTTGATTTTTAGCTGCATCCAATAAAATGTTTTTTATAGAATTAGGAAGCATTTTTCATTTTTATCACATGCATAGTTTATGTAAGGCAGTGAGTGGGTTTTTGTAAAGAAATGCATTGAAAACACTCCTCATTTTAATGATCTTATGAAGTTATTCTTTGTTATTGGTTTTACAAATAAATACTTTTATCCTTTTAACACATCTGCACCAAATTATTGTCAGTAGGAACAATTGTGTCTAATTTGAAGAAAGATCTACATGGACTTGGAGGAAATTGTATCTATTGTGGAAGAGGATCTGTCTGGTAAAGGTCAAATTTGCCTTGTAAGAACCAGACCCTTGTCCTTCACTTTTGTAGTGAACATGCCCATTTCACCTCACCTCATCTCGCCACTGTTTGACCTTTGACCACCTGAGGTCAAAGCCCTCTTCTCTCAGACTGAACTGTTTCAGTCCTTACCAGAGGACTATCAAAAAAATAAGCCTTTTCGCTGTCTCTTTTCCCCCTGGGAAAGATCTTGTTCTCAAGAAGTTTCTTATTCTGCTGATAAAAACAATTCAAAACAAATGTTCTGTCTGTTACTGCTGTTCTTTCAACATCCATCCATTTTCTGTACATGCTTTTTCCTTTTCAGGGTTGCATGGGTCACTGGTGCCCATATCCAGCAGTCACAGTGCGAGGGGCAGGGTACACCCTGGACAGGTCACAAGTCCATCACAGGGCCACACATAGAGACAAACAACAATTCACTCTCTCACTCACACCTAGGGACAATTTAGAGTTATCAATTAACCTAACAGTCATGTTTTTGGTCTGTGGGAGGAAGCCGGAGTACACGGAGAGAACCCATGCATGCACGGAGAGAGCATGCAAACTCTACCCAGAAAGGTCCCTGGACCGGGATTTGAACCGGTGACCTTCTTGCTGAGAGGCATCAGCTCTACCAACTGAGCCACCGCCGTTCTTTCAACATGTATAATTCAAATGCTTAAACCCTTTAAAATCAATTTGACTTTTGTCTTTACTTTTTAAGGGCTCTTTAATAATAGTTATTTTATAGCTATGCATTTGTTATTTGTGTTTAGAACATGTTTTAGAAATTATGATTTAGTATTAACAGAATATGTTTTAATCAATGCTTATATTTTATCTTTTTACATCTTCTGTTTTAAATAAACATTACTTAATAATTATTAGTTTAACAAGGTTTATTAGTTTACTAATAATAGTTCATAATTAATCATTAGTTAATTGAAAAATGTTCTTTGAGTTGAGTTACTATGCTCACAGGTTCTTGTGTTGTTTTTGATGTTCAACCTTGGGTCTGCACACAAATACACATACACACACACACACACACACACACACACATGATTTGGTTCTCGTGAGAACTTTCCAATACACTGACCACCTGCAGATAACACCCCTACACACACAGTCCTTTCTGTGTCGTTAAAACTTTTCCGTTATTTCCTGTTCGTCAGTCTTTCTGCTCATCTGCTCTCCCTACCAGGACATGAGGCGCAGGTCGCCTTGTGCAACGTTTTCCAACGTTTCTCCTGCAGCATAATTTTGTCTTGTTCTTACAAGGAAATAACTTTTTGGTGAAATACCATTTTTGAGTAGGGCTGCTAAGCCTTGCTAAGCCTAAAACCTGGAGCTATCATCCTGCTGTAAGTTCCTCAGAGTTCCTGGTTGACCTGCTGGTTTTGACCCACTGCCACATTGCTGAAAGACCGAGCCCAAGAAGGCCTCTTCCCTTTGGCTGACAAAGAAGGCTACAGTGTTTGTCATTCATCAGGCAGACACCTAGCGGAAGTCTCTGTCCACCTGCTCCGCGTGGAAAGGCCCTAGCTATGGTAAAAGTTGAAACGCTGGCTCATCTTGGTCCCAGACCCATTCGCTCACAGCCGAACATAATTTAGCCTTAAAACTTTTAAGCTTTAAAAGATATACTTGTCTGTTGTTCGTCTTCTGTCTCTCCCACTATCTCTCTGTCTCCCTCATACATACGCACACACATACACACACACACACACAAACACACACACACACACACACACACACACACNGAACAGAAATTGGCCGATAGTTTGAAACTTCTGTTGGATCASCAGATTTAAAAATGGGAGTAATCTGAGCAAAATGCCTGACAAGATGATGGCAGTCTGGAGTCCATGTGAAAGCCACAAATCCACGTACAGTTTTGCACTGTGACTAATGTAACTGGATGTGGAGAAAATTATAGCAGCTCTTTTCATGCACCATGTAAGGATAACAACAAAACATTTTATTACAAGTTTTAAAAAATCCAGCATTAAAACTCTTAAGTAAGAGTACATAGGCTAACAGCTTCACCTGTGAAGAATCAGTTCTACCTGTGTTCCTGTGTGGTGATTGGTGATCTGAACCTGAGTACTCACACCTGTTGGGGATTTGTCTGATGATCAGCTGCAGCTTTATAAGCCTCCTCCATCAGTTGATCCACACTGATGCTTGGGCATAATCTGGATTGTGAGTGGATCAAGATGGCAAGTAGTAGTGGGGGGTTTTCGGAGGATGAGAATATGGATACAGGATGGTCTATGATTGAAAATAGAAAAGGAGGAGGGGTAAGAGATAAAGGTAAAAAGGGAATAAATACTGGAAAAAGATCTCTTGAGGATGAGGAAGAAAGAACTGAAATAAGAAAGAAAGCAAAGACGGAAGACTTTAAAGTTATATTAAAGTTTAAGGTTGGACAGGATTTGTTTGGAGTGAGCCTTATTAGTTTATCTAATGGATTAAAGAAAACTATTGGAGATGTAGAACTAGCTAAAGTTTTAAGAGATGGAAGCCTGCTTATCACCTGTAAAAATGTTGAACAAAAAATAAGGCTCTAAAACTACAAACGGTGTGTAAAAAAGAAGTTCTGGAAAGAAAGGTTGTTGGGGAAGAAAAAGGAGTAAAAGGAGTAATATTAGGAATTCCTGTTGGAGAAAATCTGGATGAGCTAAAGAAAATAATCAAAGGAGGAGAAATTACAGGCATCAAACAATTACAGGCTTTTAGAAACGAGGAGAAAACTGATAGTACATCTGTACTACTGGAATTTAAAGATAGGATTCTACCAGATAAAGTAATGATTGGTTACATGAGCTTTAATGTAAGGGCTTTTGTTCCACCACCGCTCCGATGTCATAAATGTCAAAGATATGGACATACTGCAAACATTTGTAAAGGAAAACAGAGATGTGGTAGATGTGGAGGCGAAAATCCATGTGGTGAGTGTGGAAATAATCCTATTAATTGTTGCAACTGTGGAGGAAATCATACTGCAGCATATGCAGGATGCACTGTAAGAAAAGAGGCAGTTGAAATTCAAAAAGTAAAAAATGAGAAGAGAATTACATATGCTGAAGCTGTAAAAGAGGTGAAAAATAATGATAATACTCTGAAAATAAGTACCGGTAATGAAAGGAAGGGAGTGGCAAATATCAATCAATGTAATATAACATTAGAAAAATTGATTCCTTTTCTTGCATATATTATAAATTGTTCAGAACAAGCAAAAAATGAAAATGAAAAAATTAAAATCATAGTGAAGACAGCCACAAAAATTTTTAATGTCAAAAATTTATCTTGGGAAA